TTTTGTTCTGCAGTGAGGGGCTACTGGTGGATTGAGTTTCATTTTGGAGACCCTTCCTAAATATATCCCTCCCTTTAAGAGCGCAGTGTGTAGCAAAGACACATTCCAACCTCTTAAATTAAAAATGAAAGTCTCTTTCGTAAACGTTGCCGAGAAAAGGCATGATTCTTTTGCAATGCAAGTTTCCTGCTGAGTGTTGACCCAGATTCTGAGGCAGTATCACATCCAGCTTGATCATTTTCAAGCACCTCTCACTAAGTCAGTGTATGGCGGCTCTGCCGTATGGCATACATTTGAAAATACTGGTATCTTTACAAGATCTGCTTGCATTTTCAACAGACTCTCAGTCCGTTGTGGCACCTAATAGTGTGTTTATATGTGCTTGAGTGAGAGTGGATGGCTGTGTTTTGTGTACATGGTTGAGTTAAAGTTTGGGACATACCTTTCGGCCGAGCTGTCCGGCTCTATAAAGCGAATAAGAGGGGGTGCAGAGAGGGTCTCCGTCGCAAATATTCCACCTTGCAGCTGAACCCCAAACCCGTTTAGAGGATCTCCTCTCAGAGTGACCTCACTGGACTCGGTGTGTATTATCTGACCACCAGGGCCCACAGAACTTGAGGCTAAAGACACAGCTAAACAGAGAGAAATATCACCACAGAAATAGCATAAATGTACAATTGGTTTTAATCCATTAAGGGGCTGTTCACACACAATGTGGTTTTATGTTTAAAAATGTGAGACACAGGCCAATGGAATGAAAAAAAAAAAACAGCAACAGCAACGGCTAGAAATGCACTGCACGTTTTAAGGTTTTCTTTTAACGTGAACAGAACATTTTCAGAACGCACATCATGTGTGAGATGCTGCAAAAGACAGAAAACGTGAGGGCGATGGTCAAATAAATTCAGTGTAAACGTAAAATTGAAACTCTATTCCAAAACCAATAAAATCTATCCAAGATGGAGGAATGAAGTAAGATAAACGCAGAAGTATTCAGTAATGAAGTATACACAATTGTTGTTAGCTTAGCAACATGCTAACATCCCCACTGGCATTTTTTTAATGATATAAAAAACTGTTTAATAAAATCAATTTGATGTGTTCAATGTGTTCACTGTGTTTTTGTAATAGTGCTAAGAGTACTGTGTTGTTAACTTAGCAACATGCTAACATCCAACTCTACTAAAAGTTTAACCAATAGATAAAACATATTTGTTTGTACATGTACCTAATAGTGCCTAGACTGTGTTGTTAGCAAAGCAACATGCTAACTCTATAAAAAAAGTAGTTTAATTTATAGATAAAAATAATTGAATACCCAATACATGTGTTTATGTATTGTAACAGTGCTTAGCGTGCTTAGTTGTTAGCTTAGCGACATGCTAACATCTAACTACAAAAATAACTAAAATATGTCAAGCAATAGATAAAAATAGTTCAGCCTACCCTGATAGCACACGTACATCACAGAGACGTCTGCATTACATCTGCAAGATGTATTTTTTAGAGTGTTTGTTCATCTGCAGTACGTCTCTAGAACGTTTCCTATCAGATGTCAAATAGACGTTTAGAAGATGTCTTTAAGATGTTTATGATTTAGAATGAATGTAAAACTGACATCTTAGAGACGTCTATCAGATGTTTGTACGCAGCAGATGCTTTCCAGATGAAAAGATCTTTAACAGACATCTTGCAGACGTACCTGTGCTATATGGGTAATTAAAAATAACTGATTTGCCCAATATTTGTATATGCTATGTATTGCATAAAAGTCTCTCCAGTACTGTGTTCTTAGCTTAGCAAACATGCTAACACCTATAATAAAATTGGTTTAGGTAAAAAAATAAAAAAATACCTACAATATCATACAATACAACACTAACTATGCAACTACAGATGCCGGAAGAATTGTCTCTGGGACAGCGCAATGAATGCTGCTATTATAGGCTTGTAATGATGATTGACAGGACTGAATGATTAGGCTCCTCCTAAACCTACATTAAGAACTACATTTAATGCACCATTAGACCATTGTTCTTTAGCTTATCAACAAGCTAACATCTAACTCTACTGGAATCAGTTATGTGTATAGTCGTTTCATGAGAAGCCATTTAAAAACAGCCTATGTAGAACTTCACAAATCAGTCACTTATGAAATGCATTAAGACACTGTTTATATAGCACTGTAGTCGTTATATAGTCGTGTCAAACAGGAAATATCACAAGAAAACCGATCCAGTCACCTACATGAGCTCTTGTGCTCTTTTTTCCTTTGTCGTCTCTTTAGCATAGAGTTCCGTGGGCTCATGGGAGGAGCGGCCCGGGGCAGCGTGCTGGAACCCTGGCTGGTCATGCCTGATGTGGTAGTGGACCCAGGAGAGAAGTTAGTGCAGACTACCGCTAGAGAGAAGAGAGAGGAAAGGAGAGAGAAAATCAGGCGCATTTTAAAAATTTAAAATCAAAGAGATGGCAATGGTCCAAGAGACTGAGCGGCTCACTGCAGGTTAATGATCCATATTCTATTGGTCCCTTGCTAGTCTTTGCAGATCTATGCACTAAGCATTTGTTATTTAAGGGGACGTTATATTCGATTTGGAGGCAACCGCTGGGAGGTGGATGTCTGGGTTAAGAACAATATTCCATATTAACGTAATGCTATTTTACATGTAAATGAAGATGGATGACTTCAACTAGAGAGGTAGATTTTCTGAAGAAAATGGGAGTCGGCCAGTAAAAACAGCATTTTGGTGCAGGAAACCCAGACTAAAAAAAATGCTAAAAAAACCATAGAATAAAAGTGGGGTCATATTAGTGATATTTCATTGAAATTTCAGAGCAAAAAAAACGTCAATACTATTGTCAATATGAAGCAAAGGTCACAAAGAAGTCACATTCAAACCAAGAAGCTTTCTATTGGCCAATGTGGCAAATTCACTTGAACATCCTGAACACGTGAGAAATCTGCGAGGGGAACGTTTCCACCTTCATGGAAAACTCTCAATCGTGTGGGACTTTAGATTTCATAATTAGTACTTTATTTCTTATAATTGCGACATTTTTTGTAATTGTAATTGATTTTTTTTCTCACTTTTAAGCAAATTTATGTGACCAACTTGAACACGAGTGAAATCTGCAAGGGAAACTTTTTTTGCCCTCATGAGAAATTAAGGGCTACTATTTAAATGACTGGATAATCGTCCACAAAATTTTGTGTGAATTTGAACACAAGCGAAATATATAAGGGAAACTGTTTTGCCCTCATGTTAAACTCCCAGTCGCATGGACACCTTGACTTAATATCATCTGTGAAATGTTGTGCAAATTTGCATGACCAACTGGAAACACAAGTGAGATTTGCAAAATAAAAAATATTTTGCACTCAAGAAAAAATGTGTAGACTCCTATTTAATGACTGGGTATTGTCCAAGAAATTTTGTGTAACCAACTTGAACACAAGCAAAATCTGCATGGGGAACTTTTTTTTTTTTTTTTGCCTTGATGCAAACTCATAATCTATTTGAATGACCAGACATGACTGCAGAATTTTGCCAAACAATGTTAGGTGTGTTTGCAGTAGTTTAATTGCTTTATGGGAAACTAGTCAAATCATCTTCATAAAGGATGGCAATTGTGTAAAAATTATGTAATGCAGTTACATTTGCAGTAATCCTGAGAGCTGGATGGATTACTGGAAGCAGAGGTCCATGTCGATGTCTTACAGTGACCAGGATGTTGAGAATGGCAGTAGTTCACACAGGGGTCCCAGCAGTGCGGGTGGTCACTTTTCTGAACTTTCACTAAACACACAAAATTAATTACTAAATTGAGGTATTAATTACATGATTCTCAAAATAAATAACAAAATATATACACATTTTTATTAAAAAAATACATGTGCACACATACTCTATGTGGTGTTCTCTCTATATTGCTTTCATAAACCCTCATTTAAACACTAAAAATCCATCATTTGGAGTCTTGAGGGTCTGTTGAAGTCACATTCGAGTGATAATATCCGTCTCTAATACTGGCCTGTGGAAAATGAATGTGCATGCAAAACAATGGGGAAGCTCATCAACAAACAGGCTAATGAAGTCCTGCTGCTAGAGGCAGGCCGTATAATTGAGTGCCTCTGTCTGCGTGTATGTGCTTGTTCTCATTTGTCCTGCAGTTTCTCCAAGCACTCATAATGCAGTAGGTCCGACAGAAGCAGAAGACTAAATTTAAAAGGAAAAGGATTAAGAATTTAAAAGTAAAATTAATTTAATGAATTAAACAAGCACACTTGAAACAAGTCATTTATTATAGGGCAGTGGTTCGCAACAGGTTTTGCTTCAGGAAGCAGATTCTGGACATCCAGGGATGACCCAATGCAAGGTCAAAATTGTTTATCATACAAAAGTAATAGAAAAACAAGTGTGAATTATATTAATATTACCATGAACTGCAAAATTATTAACAAGACACAGATTTAATATAATGATTATAATTATTTCACGGCTCTGTGGAATACTTGATTCTGATTGGTCAGTCGCGACATTCCGAGGTTTGTTATCCCTCGATAATAACTGATAAAAGCTGATAACACAGGCTCACCCGGATAACTGAAGTCGGCGCTATACTCTTGCTAGGAACAGCTTTTCTTCGTGGAAGCTTTGCGTTTGGTTAGTTAATTAAATATAATAAAATATTCAAACTCGATTCAATATTATGTGTACAATTATTTAATAATGTCACACTGGTATCGTGGACTCGCTCTCTTGTCTCTTGTAAGATTTTAAAACAGTTTTGTCTTAAATCAATATCTTTTATCGGCATAATTATTTATGTGGTTGTCACACCCCTGTGGACTGTCGATTGTGCTTTCTCCCTCTGTGTCCTTATTTGGTTGTTCCTGTCCTCATTATCCGTTAATCTCCTTATTGTGCTCACCTGTCTGCCCTTCGTTATCTGCCCTATATTAGTTCCTGCCTCTTGTAGTCTAGTTTGTCGGTTATTGTGAATGCCAATGTCAATGTCCATGTTCCTGTCGATGTTGATGTCTACCCTGTCTGGATTCCTGTTGTTTCTTTATTAAATATCCTTTGATTCGTCGTCATCGTCATCCTGCCTGTTCTTTAGAACACCCGTACCGTGACAGAATACCCGACCCAAAAGACTTCCGTGTTCTCCCTTTCGTTTGTTTTCCGTTTTTTTCCTCAGTGTTTTTCTTTCCGTTGTGTTTACCCCATTGATCCCTTCACTCGCCCCGAATTCCTCCTTCTCCTGCTGGAGCAGGAGGGCAGGACTCTCGAGGACCATACCAGACTGTTCCTGATGGTC